CCCCCCCCCCCCCCCCCCCCCCCCCCCCCCCCCCCCCCCCCCACGAATGGGCTACAGCTTTTGACCGCAGAGATCATCACCTTTTAAATAATGATGCCACCGGCTGCCGGTGGTTGGGCGAGTCCTACGCGTGAGCTCTCCGCCGGGTGCTTCGTGGGTGCAGCCCTGGCTGGAATTCTGGAAGGAGGTAGAATCACCTCCTCGCAGAGAGGAGGCTGAGGTTCTGCCTTAGGTGGCGGGCGTGGCTGTCACACCAAGCTGCCACCGCTCCCCTTGCGGGCTGCTTGATCCTGCGAGGGGTCCTGGGGTAGGATGACCACCCAGCTCGCTACGGCTCTCCTTCCGGGAATGCAAAAGCGAACCTCAGGGAATACCGGTAGGCACCGAGTCAAGAAGGTGAGTTCCACCGCGTGTCTGTGGGCGGAGCGCCCTCGCAGCCCTCCCTGGCAACCAGCAGCGGCTGGAGATGGCGCGTCTTCCGAATCAGGCAGATTAATTATCATCTCGAGGACGAAAGGCGCTCGCTCACATGACAGTTGAGCAGCGCGCTTTTTGCTGACGCCTTCAGAAAGCGAAGAAGTGTTTGCTCTGTGAGTTGAATGCAGGGAGTCCTCGCAGGATCCTGTGGAGGGGGCCGAGAGAGGGGGTGGGGGTGGCGGCGGATTTATTAAATATTGAAATTGATCAGGAGTAGCAGCAGGAAGCTATTTATCATGTTTTATTGCTGCAAACTAGCATTACCATCTGGCCCATTGTTAATTCTGAATAGCTTTTCATGTTTTGTTTGCCTCTTAAATTGCTCTCTGTAAGCGGAATCCACAGGGGCTGTCCACAGCACAGGCTCGGGTGAGGTTTTCTGGGGTCTGCCAGGATCTCTGCGTCCTGCTGACCAAGCGAAAGCGATGAGAATAATACCAGTTTTTAGCACCTACTGACAGGCGAATCCGGGGCTGGGATCTCCCAGGCCTGTGGCCATGCCCCGGTCATCAGTCCTTAGCAGCAACTGGGATTTCGAGATCCCCTCCCATCTCCTGGCTGGTTCTCACCCCAGACCTTCCTGGTGGGTGATTGTATCCCATTTCACAGATGAGCATCCTGAGGTTCCAAGAGCGAGTGACTTGTCTAAAATCTTACAGCCAGTGAGTAGCAGAGGCCCCCATGTGAAGTCAAGCCTCCTGCCTCCTGGCCCAGGATGCTGTCCCCTATCCAGCACCACCCCCCCCCCCCCACCAGCAGTGGTGTTCATTTGAGTGACCGGGGAGGGAGTGGGGCTGGTAAAGCAGGGAGGTGAAAGGTCAACTCATAGAGCGCAGGGCCTCTGGGAAGATGGAACTGGAGTGGGAGGTTGGTTGCCTATTGTGAGCGCCTGTCTCCCCTGACGTCATCCTCAGAGTTTAACTCCTGTTTCCATGGCTCCTGAAATGAAATCACAGACTTGGGGGTGTGGGGTACAGATAGTGGGGGCTGGGCTTTACAGCCAGAGAGGAGAAGCCTGTCTGTGCCCAGGGTCTCAGGGACTACTACTGTCTGGCAGCTGGCAAAGAACAGGGGCCCCATTCTTGCTAACTGAGAAGGCTGGTCTGACACCCCGATTCTCAAGGATAAGGTGCTTCTGAAGTCAGCCACATTCTTGGGAGCATTTGGGAAGCTCCCGAATAGCACAAAAGGACATTTGTGGTTGAGGGGTGGTTTTTCCTTTGGGTGAGGCTCAGCAGAAAGAACCAGACAGTCCTCCTTCCTTCCCTCCATGGTGCTGAGCCAAAGGATTCTCGTGCTCTCAGTTCCAGCTAAGTCCTGGCCAGAGCTGTGGAAGCCCAGTCAGATGGGAGCAGCTTTACCTATCCCAGAGCTGCCATGGGGCTGACAAGAGAGTAGTCAGAAGAGAGAACTGGGCTGTCATTCTCAGAGGGCACACATTCACTCATTCAACAAACAGGTAATGAACATGTTAGCAGGTATTGGGCTGATGGGAATATAAATTATTTACAGATCCTACCCTTGAGAAAAAAAGTAATAGAGACCATTTACTGCACGTTTACTATGTGACAGAAATACAAAAAGCTTGTTATGAATTCTCCCATTTACTTCTCACACAGCCCTGTGAGATAAGAGTTTTTCTCCCATTTGACAGACAAGAAGCCCGAGGCTTCAAGAGGTGAATTTAAACAGGTGTGTCAAGTACATCAGTGGGGGACCCTGGGATTTGAACCAAAAGCCATCTGCATTCAGAGCCGTTTGCCTTTTCATTATACCCAGTGTCTCTAGCCACACAAGTGAAAAGGACACACAGTTGACAGTTGTCGTAGGGTATGGCCAGACCCCCCCTAGGGGAAGCAACAAAGGAGGGGCGCTGTGAGGGTAAGAAAAAGAACATTTACAAAGCCCTTAGCATGGTGTGCATCCCAGAAAAGTCACTCTCTATGAGTTCGGTACCCCTGAAGGCTGGCACAGGGCCAGAGCAAGCATCTTGCTCAGTGCCCAGTGAATGTTTGATGAGCAGATAAATAATGATAAAATATGTCCTGCATCCCCAAAATAGGGTGTTCCGAGTGTGAGGGCCACGGCTTATGGTGGAGGTGGTCTCACCGACAGAGTCTCCCTTTCTGCTCCTTAACGTCCTGCAGAAAACACCAGCCTGATTGGCTAAGAGCATCACCCTACACCCAGCACCAGCTGTGTCTAACTGCTCGGGCAAGGTCCCCTTTCTGGAAGCCAGCCCAGACCTCCCTTCCTCCCTTGTGAGGCTTCAGCAGCTGCTGAAGGGTTAACCCAATTCCTGATGTCTGAAACCTTAATGAAACCTGCATGGGGAGACCCTACTATTTAAGGGGAAAAAGAAAAACAGTGTTTAGAAAGATAAGTGAGAAAAAAAAATCAAAACTAGTATATAAAAAAAAAGATTTCACATCATGAACTCTAAATCTCAGACCATTCTTTTAAGCAGCCTTGTTTTCTATCTTTTTTTTTTTTTTTTTTTTTTTTTGCCCAGAGCTCAAGGGCACAAAACTGGATTAATCATAATCCTTGGTTCATTGAGAGCCTTCCAGCCCCATCCACGCATAACCTGCTTTTATCTAGTCAGCTTTTTAAATTAGTAATTTTTAAATAATGTAATAAGCATCCACGACTCACCACCTAAAAGGAAAGCTAGGACTTGACAATAACCCACACCCAGCAGGTGGCTCTCCCCCAGCACCAGCCCATTCCCCACCTCTTTCCACCCACAGGACCCTCGTCTGGATCCTGCACTTGTCAGTCCCTAGATAGTCTCGCTGCTTCTCTGTTAGAATGTCAACCACTACTTAGGAGCGTCATGGAATTTAGCAATACGCAATCTCACACTGCTCCGGGAGGCCAGCGTAATCAGCATTAAAATAAATAAATAAAGATTTCAATTTGCAATTCTAGAATTTCTAGCAGAATGGAAATCTAAAATGCAGGTCTTCTCAGCCAAACTGAGGTCTGGTAGCCCTGTCATTGCCCAGAATCAAATGAAGGAACAAATGTGTCAGTGAAGATGCAGTCATTTC